CACGCACACACACACACACAGACACACACAGGCGCTCAGTGGCCACATTATTAGGCACACCGTAAGACCCGCTTCTGCCTTCAGACTCGCTTCCGTGGTAACCTTCCTTTCTCTGCTCCCCACGGCCGCACTGGGCTGTTATGTTTGCACTTGTGGTCTTCCTGTGCGCTTTAATGAGTCTGCCCATTCTGACCTCTCTCGTTAACAAGGCGCTTTCAGCCACAGAGCCACCGCCGTCTGCTCCACCGTTCTGCGTTAACTCCAGACACCGTGGTGTGTCTGAAACCCTCAGGAAGGTGACTGTTTCTGAGCCCACAGGGGGCCCAGATGGGTAGCGCAGGGGGGTGAGACTCCTGCTGCCCATGCTGCTCGGGGAGCTTACCACTTCTCTCTCTCTCTCTCTCTTTCCGCCCCCAGAGCTCCGCCCAGTCTCTGTCCGGCCACGGCTATTCGGTAAGTGACCATCTCGCGCTGCCGCTATCTGCCAGCCGTCGGGTGTGTAGATGGATGGATAGGAATGCTGGTCTCCGTGTGCTGATGGGTTCTGAAAATCCTGGTGCCTGCACCGTCTGTTAATGACGACATTCTGCTCAGTTAAGGAACATTTCCTGGGATCACTGTCATGGCTGATCAAAGGTGACGTCTCTGTACCGCTCTGCGTTCACGCCAACTTTACCGACCATCACCGACACACGGGTTGTTGTATTGAATAGGCTGCCATGGATCGGCCTTTTCATTTATGACGCTGTAAAAAGCATTCGTCTGTGCAGGAGTACCAGGGTTTGTCAGGGTTCCATGCATTTGGAGTTTGCATGTTCTCCCCATGTCATTGTGGGGTTTCCTCCAGGTACTCTGAGTTCCCCCCACAGTCCAAAGACATGCTGAGGTTAACTGGAATTACCAAACTGCCTGTAGGTATGCTTGTGTGAGTGTATGGTGTGTGAGTGTATGGTGTGTGAGTGAATGGTGTGTGAGTGTATGGTGTGTGAGTGTATGGTGTGTGAGTGAATGGTGTGTGAGTGTGCCCTGCGATGGCTTGGCACCCCATCCTGGGTTGTGCCCATAGCCTCCGGACCCCCCACGACCCTGAATAGGATAGGCAGTTTCAGAAGATGGATGGATGTATGGATGTGCAGACCTTTGGAGGCATTTAACATGAGTGTGAAGTGAAAATGTTGTGGATGGAGCCCTTTTCTTCAAGGCTGAGAAAAATAAAGAGGGAAAGAGGTGGAGGAAATGAACAGACAGTGGAGGGGGGGGTTGTCTGCCGGGGTCAGGCGAAGCCGCTCCTTGTTGTCATGCCGTCGCCCCCACCTCGGGGCGCCCTCGGACCTGAACCAGGCGGGGTCCTCGCTTTGCTTTCTCAGGGCACCAGGCGTTTTATCTGTTGGTCTAGGGGCCGTCTGGCGGGGTGAGAAGGGCATACGCTGGCAGGAAGCTTGCTGGGGGGGGCTGGGGAGGG